CTCAGCCTTCGGCTAAGACCTTCGTGCCCCCCCGGTACGGGGTCATTCTCGTGACCCCGCGATCTCCGCGCCCGTCGGTGATATCGCGTCGCGGTTCGGTGGGTCGCTGTTTATACGTCCCCTGAGACGACCTCCACGGCTCAGCCTTCGGCTAAGACCTCCGTGCCCCCCGGTACGGGGGTCACCCCCGTGACGCCGCGATCTTAGCGCCCGTTGGCGTTGTCGCGTCGGAATTGATTCGATCGCTCTCCGGGTCGCCTCTGAAACGATTTACGCGGCTCGGCCCCCGGCTATGACCACCGTGCCCCTCTGCGCGGGGGTCATTCGCGTGACCCCGCTATTTCCGCGTTGGTCGTTCTCGGCGCTTCGTATATCGGGTGGTTGGCCTCCGGGTCACCCCTGAGACGTATTCCGGGGTTCGGCCCCCGGCTATTACCGATATACCCCCGTTCGCGGGGTTCAATCTCGTGACCCCGCTATCTCGCGTGCCCGTTGCGCTATCTCGACCGCGCTCATCCCGATCTGCTCTGCTTGGCTCTCCTTCCAAGGCCCGCTCGTTGGCTCGCTCGGTGGCTCGCTTGTTGGCTCGATCATCTGCTGCTCGTCTGCCGGGGTCAATCGTACCCCGGTCACCTATATTTCGGGATTCAGGTAAACGCTAGCCATATGGGCTCTTCGGACTCGCCTATCCGATAATACTATTCGCAAATTGTCGATGTCCGCTGCTCCCCTGGTCGCTGATGCCCCTCGAGGTTGTCCGGCTGCTCAGCTATGCGAACGGTTGCAAGGTGCCATCTTAAAGTTAGCCGGTTGATATCAGTTAAAAGTTAGTCGTCAGTATTAGGCGATTTTGCCCTCGTCTATTTTTTTACGATATCCGTTATACCTTTACCCCAGTGATCCTAAGACACGCACTCAAACTACACAGTTGCGACCATGATGTAATAAACAAGGTGTGTTCTTGCGCAGCTATTTTTTTCAGCCAATGAACAGAGGTCCCAACTCTGCGCCATTTCCTAGCGCCAATTTTGAATACGACTGAGTTTAAACATATATAAAGCAGACGTAAAAATAGAAAATAGACGTTTGCTAGCTACCGTGATGTAATATTATTATTTTTGAATATTATTATAGCTATTATATAATAACGTTTATTAAATTTTTGTAATTGTATAATTATTATTCTTATTTTAGATATGTTATAAGTAAATATTGAAAACACTATACGTTTACATTACTACAATAAATGGTTATAAAAATGTAATAACTAATAAATAAGTATTAAGTCCTGTTCGGAATAATTCCGTCCAACTATAAACCCGTGCTGATTGGGATATTAATAACACTGAATGATGAAATGGTAAATAAGGAATCAATTAATTACGTTTTATGTAATTTTTTTATTTATAATTTTTTACATTTTTTTGTTGAATTTTCTCCGGTTGTTTTCAGCCATGATAGATTTATTAACGTTTCCGTAAATGAATATACGTTCGCGTTCGTATGAGGCATAATAATGCTTTTTCCGGTATAATTATTGTATTCTCGATTTTTGCTATAATTATTGTAGCTAAATTTCTAAAAATCCACGGTCCTTTTTTAAAAAATGAACCATGATACTTTTGAAATTCGACATTCATGACCTTAGCGACAGTCATTAGATCATCTGAAGAATGTATAAGTTTGCCTTTAGATATCTGGTAAATCCAATCGTGTTTTGGATCGATTAAAAGCTCACTCGATATTCCCAATGTGGGAAACTCGGTGCGGAACCTAAATGCCACATATCCTGCAATGTATTTCAGACCCTCTTATTTCGTTGAACTCGCCAGAACCAGTGATATTGGTGGACGTGGCAGCAGATATTGATGCAGCTGGTTCTATGCTGGAACTCATTTTGTTGAACTCGCCAGAACCAGTGATACTGGTGGACGTGGCAGCAGATGTTGATGCAGTTGGTTCTATGCTGGAACTCGTTTCGTTGAACTCGCCAATCATCTGGTCAGATGCTGAAAAATAATTGTAATAAGTCGTTATGTTATAGATGTAATTGTTAAATAAACAATCTCCATTAAATTACTGGGAATTGTGCATAATAAATATACCTACTGGAGATATCAAGTGTTGACGTCATTGGATCTTCACAGGTCACTGTAGCTTCTGATATCTGGTCAGCCACTGAAATATTTATTGAAATATTAATTTTCAACCCAAAGCTAAATATTTCTTAATCGCATACAGTGTATACAATATAACACACAGTTGAATTAACTAATAATAAACTTACAATTACTAATAGGAGCACTGATACGTGTGGACGTCTCTGCGGATGTTGCAATAACATTTATGGGGCTCAATTCACAGACTTCATGAAGCATCTGCTGGAAGTCTGAAAAATAATTGTAATAATAAGAAAATAATAACATAATAATAGAAATGAAGAGAAATTATTAAATATTAAATATTAATTGGAAAATTACTCCTAATAGAAGCTAAACAGAGAAAGACTTTCGCAGATAATGTTTATTATTTAGAATTCTTATATGAACGTGAAAAAAAGTGTTCGCTGATATAATTTATTTATGAAAATTATTGAGTCCAAATCTAAATTTAATAACAAATATGAATATCTTAAATAAAATACATATTACCATCATTTCCTGGAAATGCAAAGGGTACAGCATCTGGGTTGAGGGGCCTAGAATTCCTTGGTGTTCCTGCTAACTCGTCTACGAAGGACACCTTCTTGTAGCATGACTCATTAAAATGAGCTGAGCACACACGAGTTGCATCAATAAATTCCGTAATTAATTAATTATTAATTATTAATCGAAACGTGCATTAAAAACATGGCATTATCGACAATTCTGAGGAGCTGTTGAACGCCAAAGTGATCAACTATACAAATAATAAAAAAGTGCCTCGATATTATTGTTATTAAATTAATGTTTCAGTAGTTAAAATTTTTGTAATTTTGCTGATAGTAATTTTACTTATGTTTGAGATGTATTTCAAGCATGTCGAAAAATATAAAAATATAAACACATGAATTTCCGGCCCTACACGGATGAGCCACCTTAAGAACAATAAAATGATCTTGTAAGTAAATTGTATTAACATGTACATACCATTTTTCTTTTTAATTTCCCCTATTCTCCTTCCACACGCCATTATCCACTTTTCACGGAGCTCCCTTTTTTTTGGAAAAGAAAAAAATCGGTAGTTCCCTTTTCCAGAACGGTTTGTGCACAATTTCATGGCACACAGCGGCATTGTCACTAAATTTGTTTAAAATTTCACTTATAAACACTGAATCGCAAACTGAGAAACTAATGTAAACACCCGGGAATCTAACCTCGTCACACACTACTTCGCTCTACATATACACACTACTCATACACATATAAATCAAATATGGCCGAAAGTTGAGACCTGCGCAGATCGTGACGAAAAATAGACCTGGATAGGAACACACCTTGTTTATTACATCATGGTTGCGACTTGAGTTTGTTTGCGCGAATAACGCTTCCTCAAGTGTTCTAGCAACCTGTGTGGAAAACGCATAATTTCATACGTAGTATCACTCTCTTATAATTGCGAGAATCTAAGTATCGCAAGAGTCGCGAAGGATCCACACTTTATACTTGATCACGCAGAAACATTTATACAGTTTCTCGAGAACATTGATTCGCAGGAGCCATTTCATTATTTGTTTTGCACTCGTGAAAGCAAGTGGTGGACGAAACCGAACGAGCGAGGAAACTTTGAAACGCAATAACGTCAATCAATCGAACGTCATCACTGTTCAGCGACTTGGTTTCGTGGATCGAACGCGCCGCAAAATCAACACGAATCGCCAAAGCGTATTTATCTTTACACGAACGTTATTGATAAAAATAAACAAACAAGGACGATAATCGTAGGATTTGAAAACATTTCTTTTGGATCTCGCAACGCGCCATGGAAGAGTTTATATAAATGTTGTCGAGAAATGATCGCGGGAAACAAATTAACGAGGCGCGACCGACACGTCGCGCGAAAACTTATCTATTTGTTAAACGCGTGACAAAGTGAGAAAATTATCAAACGGCTTTACCGCGAGCATCCTCGAGCTCACGGCAAGAGGGAATTCGCGCAGGACGAGAAGCGGAGCGAATGAGTCGCGGAGCGCAGCGCAGCGCAGCGAGGTCCGAGAGTTGAATGAAAACGTTCTGCGCACGCAACGTGACGTCCGTGCGCCGCACCGCGCGTGCGCGCCGCGTGGTCGGCGACGTTCGAGCGTACGTGGCGCAGCCCCGAGCCGCGGGATTTGAACGATCCACAACGTGTAGCGACCGTCGTATTCGTCATGGGTATAGCGACTGTTGCGCGTTTCTAGCGGCCCCAAACCAAACCTTCTAAGTCGTGTATCGATGCGATTCAAAGATCGGGCGCGTA